GATCCCTTGTAGAGAATTTTTAATTTCGTTTATTGTGTTGTTCATCACGTTTGTTTGCTCTTTAGTTCTTCTAGGTCCTTGTTAAACGTTTCTTGTATTTTCTCCATTCTGTTTCCAAGATTTTGCATCATTTTTACTATCATTATTCTGAATTGTTTTTCAGGTAGACTGCCTATTTCCTCTTCATTTGTTAGGTCTGGTGGGTTTTTAGAACATCACCTTTTAAGCTCATTTATTTTCTTTTTTTTTTAAGACTTATTTTATTATTTATTTATTTTTGGCTGTGTCGGTTCTTAGTTGCGGCACGCGGGATCTTTTGTTGAGGCATGCAGGCTCTTCGTTGTGGTATGCGGGCTTCTTGCTAGTTGTAGCATTGGGTTTTCTCTTCTCTAGTTGTGGCACGCAGGCTCCAGGGCATGTGGGATCTGCAGTTGTGGCTTGTTGGTTCCAGAGCACATGGGCTGTGTAGTTGAGGCTCGCAAGCTCATTAGTTGTGGCGCACAGGCTTAGTTTCCCCTCAACATGTGGGATCTTAGTTCCCTGACCAGGGATCGAACCCATGTCTCCTGCATTATAAGGTGGATTCTTTACCACTGGACTATGAGGGAAGTCCCTAAACTCAATTATTTGTTAAGTTCATGGTTTTGTTTTTTGGGAGTTTTTTTTCCTATTGTGGTAAAATGTACATAACATAGTTTACCATTTAGCCATTTTTAAGTGCACAATTTACTGGCATTAAGTACATTCACAGTGTTGTGTAACCATCACCAATATCTACTTCCAGAACTTTTCTGTCATCCCCAAACAGAAACTCTGTACCCATTAAACAATAACTCCTCATTCCCTCCTCTTCCCAGCCCCTGGGGAGAGAGTAACCTCTCGACTTTCTGCCTCTATGAATTTGCCTATTCCTGATATCCAGTATAAATGGAATCATACAGTATCTGTCCGTTTGTGTCTGGCTTATTTCACCTAGCATAATGTTTTCAAGTTTCATCCATGTTGTAGCATGTATCAGAACTTCATTCCTTTCTGAAGTCATTTTAAAACTGACCTTAAGGGAAACTGGAAGCACATTTTCTCTCTTTTTTCGTTTGTAAAACAATCTGCTAATTTTACTAGAATTGGTATAATTGTTTTTTAAACATTGCTATAAAAGCCTTGAATTTCTCAGTGGTTCCAAGTTACCCTCCAAACTTTGGCTTTTAACCTCTGTTTCATGTTTGCAGTTGGAATATTTAATAGAAAATGGTTTTGTTTTTAAAGATTATTAACACACTGATAATACCAAACTACTGTAATTTCTGAGTAGTCAGCATATGTAAAATTTTCTACTCCCCAGATTTTTACCATTAAACTTATAATTCCTAACATAGAAAAGCAAGATGCTGGTGATTTACCTGTGAATCCAGTTGACAAAACTTTTGAAAGCACAAAAATTTAGGATTTTTGTCCTCCCCAAAATCTTTTAATCAAATTGACACTCCAGTAAGATATTGTGTTTCTCTATTGGTTTTGCATATTTTGTGCATATTAAACTCTTCTCCAATTCAAGAAGCAAGGACTTCAGGGTAATAAATTGATATGCAGTGGACAGTTTTTAGAAGAGCTTTCTGAATTATTGCTTGACTAAATACCATTTGTCTTTCTTTTGCAATAAGGAAGCCAGTCATTTCTTCCCCTTAATTAAACTTGGGCTGACAGCTTTTAGTGTTCCACAATTTAGTTTTGTTTTTTGATGTTGATTTTGCAAGAATTATAAAATTGTTTTGTAAGAATCATGAAATTATGGGACTTCGGTATCTAATTTGAGATAACTGACTAAACACACTTCTGTGTCTGGAATATAATGTGTCTTAAGGGGACCTGTCTGGATGACTATATTTCCTTTTTATTTATATGCATAAAAAATAGAACACTGGCTCATGATCACCATTCTTACTTCTTGCTAATATGGGAAAACATGGACAGAATTAAAATATAACAATGAATATGGTCAACTAAGTATAATACAGTATGTAGCTCTTGATTTCATTTCAATCCATTATTACTTCCTTTTTAACTTTAGGGAAACTTGTCATGAGTTTGAATCATATGATTGCTTTCAGAACTATTGAACATTTGACTTAACATGTTTTAAGAGAAGTTTATGTTTTGAATAAAATGTGTAATTAACTTTTCTTCCTACTTTCTGTCATGAAAAATTTTTTTTTAAGTAGAGGGAATTATATAATTAATTCAATATATTATCACCCAACTTCCGCTAATATTAACTCCTGGCTAATACTTTCATCTAGACCCCTCCTCACGCTGCTCACAATTATCTTGAAGCATATTCCAGGTAACATATCATATTTTATCTGTAAATATATCAACCTTAGGACTTAAAAAACATTGTCACGCCGAAGAGAATTTAGGAATAGTCTCTTCAAATCAGTTACCCAGTTAGTGTTCAGATTTTTCTGATTGTTTATTTCTTTGTTTTTGTTTTCAAATGTTCATTGATGAAACTAGATTGTTTGTCAAGTATGGTTTTCCACGGTCTGAATTTTACTGATTGTATTCCAATTGGTGTAATTTAAATATGTTTCTCTGTTTTCTGTGAATTGATAGCTGGGTTGAGAGGCTTGAAAAAAATTTTTTTTTACAAGAATACACTTTATAGTCTTAGTATTCTATCACGAAGTGCAATAATGTCTGGTTGTCTTTCTGTTTATGATATTAACACCATTATTATATAAGTCCATTATTTTACTAGGGTTTATAAAATGGGGTCATTCCAGTTGCATCATTTTTTTCTTTAGTTATTGACTGGAATACTTTTATAAAGAGAAACTTCTCCTTATCACCAATTTTGTTACCCTGAGATATCTTCCATATAGGTAAGACAGGATAAATAATTGATTGTTTCTCTTTATTTACCAGTTTTAAAAATAATTAGTTGGTTCTCTAACATCCTCCAAAGGTGACTAAATTAACTTCTCTTGTTTAGCAAAATATGATTTGTGTTTTCTTCCTATATCTTTCTTTGTATATATATCTCTCTCCTCTCCCTCTTCTCTCTGTTCTTTAACTAAATATGGTCTTATTCTTTGGGCACTTAAGTATGTTCTTTTCATAACTCTTGGTTCACATGTGGATAATGCAGTTACACTTGGAGATGATTGATTTCACACACTGGAGTATAACACTGTGATTGTAAAATGTTTGAATTTCGTAATGTCCCTTGGGGATTCTTGTCAAGGCATTTGCAGGCCGAGCCATAGGACATAGCAAACAGTAAAGCCTAAAGTTGCTTCTGAAAACTACCAAAGCTTTTTCATTCACTATGACTCAAGGCAGAGAAGCATAGCTCAAAGTTAAGAATTCTCCCGGAGTCTACAGGCCTCTTGCATTATTATCTATCCTGTATTTAAGCCGTATATGTCCAAACCAAGTTCCTGATTCTTTTCCCTTTGTTTTTATCCTTATGTTCTAAGTTGATTAAAAAAAAATTCTCTTCAAAAACAAGAATCCACAAAGTGACTGAAACATGAGTCACTCAGTGTCCTGAGGAAATCAACATTTTTCCTGTGGTGAAAATTTATCCATCCTAATGTTGAGATTTCAAGGGGCTTCCTGACCACAGTGTGTTAAAAGCTTTAACTCTGAACAAAAAAGTTGTATTGGGATTAAAACAACATCCTCAATATCAGAAGGTTTCCTATATATCTAACAGCTATACTAGTGAATGCTCATTAGCAAATCATTTGGATATTTGAAAAGGGGGGGAACTGACAAAAATAACAGTGTATGTATATATATATATATATATATATATATATATATTTACATATAAAATCTAAAAAACTAAAACGAATGAGTGGTTCTAACAAAACAGAAACAGAATTTCAGATACAGAGAACAAACTAGTGGTTGCCATTGGGGAGAGGGAAGTGGGGAGGAGGGAACAAGATAGCCGTAGGGGATTAAGAGGTACAAACTACTGTGTATAAAATAAATAAGCTACAAGGAAAATAGGCCAACAGTTTATAATAACTTTAAATACAGTATAGTCTATAAAAATTTTGAATAACTGTTTTATACCTGAAACTAATATTATATTATAAATCAACTATACTTCAATTAAAAAAAGAAATAACATTTCAAAAGTCTAGAAAACCATGTGCTATTTCTTTTTTTTTAATATTTATTGGAGTATAGTTGCTTTACAATATTGTGTTAGTTTCTGCTGTTTCTTTAGCAAGTTCTTGTTTAAATTATCATTTATTTGGCAAGTGAAGTTTTTAACGTGCTTTGCTGTGTGAAGTTTAAAAAAGGGATGTTTTTCCAGGCTGAAACAATAAATGTTACTGTGCAGTTTAAAAAAAAAAAAACTAGTGTTTGTTTATTTTTTTTCTTATTCTCTGACAGTTTTATTAGCTCTCAAATTAATGTAGGTTTTTAATCCCAACACAACAGTATTGTGTTGTTTCAGCAAAGTGAATCAGCTGTACGTATACATATATCTCCTCTTTTTTGGATTTCTTTTCGCATTTCGGTCAACACAGAGCACTGAGTAGAGTTCCCTGTGCAATACAGTAGGTTCTCATTAGTTATCTATTTTATACATAGTATCAATAGTGTATATATGTCAATCCCAATCTCCCAATTCATCCCACCCACCCCTGCTATTTCTAAACTTAATAAAATGAAAAGAAATGTAAAAAGTAAGAACAGAGGATATAAGTAGAGATGCTAGAGAACTAACATTAATTTAGTGTCTGCAGCATACCAGGGATTGTCTAAGAGTTTTATGTATGTTATCTGGCTTGGCATTGTGTAGGTCAGTATTAGGGTATGATTTAAACTCATGTCCTCCTGATTGTGTAATATATCTTTTCCTCCCTAATACATGCATCTTAACATGCTTTTGGTGATATTGAAAAATAAAGATTTGATCCGCTTAGTATCACTGTGTTGAGAAAATCTCATGTAAGTATTTTGGTTTTTTTACGTAGGGTATTGGTACAGCGATCGGAGAGCTGCCTCCATATTTTATGGCCAGGGCAGCTCGCCTCTCAGGTGCTGAACCAGATGATGAAGACTATCAGGAATTTGAAGAGATGCTGGAACATGCAGAGACTGCACAAGTAAGATCAGTGGGGGAAAAAATAGAATACTTTAATTATCCCTTAAAGAGGTTATGATTAAGGTAAAATTTTTAATAGTTACTCTGAAGAAGAAAACTGCCAATGTAAACACATAGTTTAGTATAAAATATTTAGAAAAGCTGAAATATGAAAATGATTATACTCATGATCTTAGAATAGAGAAATACAGAAAGAGTCAACAAGACAACTCAGACTAAACCAGGGTAAATTCATGTGGCCAGGGAGGTTAAGGAGCTGAAACATTATTTGTCCATTATGTGTTTATAAGTATTACCAAGCAGACCAGTGAATAAGTAAGGGGGATAAATAGGTGGACCAGACTGTGAATCCAAAATAATAGAACTTCCTAATTAATTTTTTGAAAATAACACCAAAATACTTTACCATGTTTAGAGGAAACTTAACTCCCATTTAAGAAGGGGCAATTAAGATAAACTTATCCTTTGTTTCGGGGTTGGGCCGGGGGAGGCTGAGGCCTTTTACACCTGAGCACAAACTATATATCAACATGTATCGTAGTGTTACAAAATAGGTGTTGTTTCTTTGTAGGAAAATTCCTACGAACATTATTAACTGATTGAGTCTCCATCTTAGGGAGGATAGTAGAAATCAACATAGACATAAGTAAAAAGGATATAAAAGAGATTCTTGAAAGTTTTCATATAAAATACATTGCACTCCCCAGATTTGATCTAAATTGTGTTATTATTGTGCGTCTGTAAGTGCATGTGCCCACGTAAGTACGCATAGATATTTTTGTTCAATGAGTTCATAGTTTTCTTCTCAGTGGAATCTGAAACCCCAAACCCACTATCCTAGAGAGGGAAAAAACTATTTTTTTAAATGACAGATGTCCTTTTTTTAAAAAAGCATTATTAAATGGAAATCAACTATGGATAGTTATAGTTTTTAATTGAAAACAAACTTTCAAATATGAATGTAGAATAGCCAAACATAAAACAAAGCAGTCAAAGAGCTATGGCCATCTCTCTGCATGGAAAGAGGCAAATTGTCCTTGTATCTGCTTTGTTTTAACCAAATATTGTGCCTTTCTTCCTCACATCATAATGTTTATATTAATGCCAATAATTATTACTAATAATTACTAATAATACTTTTTAATTATTTTTAATGCTTTTTAGACTCCACTATCTGATTTGACCCTAGTGTTAACTCTGAGGTAGTATGGAAAGGTACCATTTTTCTAATTTTATAGAAAACTGCAAAACTAGAAATTGTTACCTCCCAAGTTTTACATGCTTAGAAGTAGAGCTGGAACCAGAACTCAGAATGGCAGCATCACTGGTAAATTCTATTTACTGAAACAATGTCCATCTATAGACATAGGTGGTTGAGTATCCCGATTTGTGATAACTGATACCTCTGTCATTTGTGGCACTAATGAATGCATGTCATTTAACATATCAAAACCTTTTATCATCTATATAAAATCAGCAAGTTGAAGTAGAATCAGTCTAAGATGGAGTGTAGCTTTAAATTTTCATGCTGTGGTTGGATACCAAACAGGTATAACGACTGTTCTCTATTAAGCCAGCTAATGTATTGTGATTATTTTCCTTAAAGTTTTTTTGTTTTGGAATTAATATTTTTTTATTTGTACAGTTTCCTCAATCTCTTCTTTCTACCACCTCTGTGAAACACTTCTCAAGATCCCTTTCCACTTGGTAACGCACTTAATATCATTTCTGTTTTTTTTCTTGGAGTCATCACTCTGGATTCCCCCATGCTCCTGCTCTAGTCTGTATGTGGTGTTTTCTTGGCCCTCTGCGCCATTGCTTCTCTCTTGATTTGGATCCCTTATCTTGCTCTGTCTTGATTTACTCCCTAATTTTAGTTGAACATATTCTGTGGTACCTTTCTGAGAAAGGATAAGTAGAAGGAAAATTCTTAAAATGCTGTATTCTTCATTCACACTTAATCAGTTAGATGAATATAGGATTCTAAGTTGAAATCATTTTTTAATTTAAAATTTGGAAGGCATTTCTCAATCATCTTCAGGCTTCTGGTGTTGATAGTGATATACCTAATGCCACGCTGAGCCCTCTTTATAGGTAATCTTTTTGGTTGTTTTGGTTTTTTCTGTAGAAGCTTGTAGATTCATTATCTGAGGTATGGGTCTTTTTTAATATTTATTCTGCTAGGCACTCAGGAAACTTGTGAACCTAGAGTCCACTAGTTTTGGGAAACATTTTTTTTTTTTAATAAATTTATTTATTTTTGGCTGCCTTGGGTCTTCGTTGCTGCACACGGGCTTTCTCTAGTTGAGGTGAACAGGGACTACTATTCGTTGCGGTGCGCGGGTTTCTCATTGCGGTGGCTTCTCTTGTTGCAGAACGTGGGCTCTAGGTGCACGGGCTTCAGTAGTTGCAGCACACAGGCTCAGTAGTTATGGCTCACGGGCTCTAGAGCACAGGCTCAGTAGTTGTGGTGCACGGGCTTAGTTGCTCTGTGACATGTGGGATCTTCCCGGACCAGGGATCGAACCCGTGTCCCGTGCATTGGCAGGCGGATTCTCAACCACTGCTCCACCAGGGAAGCCCCATTCTTGTATTTTTTCTGTGTCAGTTTACCCGCTTTGGTCTCTACTCTTGCTTTCTGGAATTACCATTATTTTGATATTGGGGCTCCAACACCCATCATTTTAATTTTTTTTATAATTTTCCTCCTAATATTTATCTCATTTTACTTTGTATGCAATTTCCTCAACTTTGCCTTCTATAATCTAAGATTAAAATGTTTTTCCACTGTCATATATTTATTTTCAAAAAGCAATTTGTATTATACTTCCCCCAAAATGGCTTATCCTATCTTTTTGAAGGTACTTAGTTTCTTCAAGTTTTCAATACTCCAGGCATTTCTTTTTTTTTCCCCCTTTGTCTGTTCTGTTTCCTGTTGGAAGCTTTCCTCAAAGTCTGGTGATCCTTGTTCTTCTATTTATATGTAAAAATAAGACACATAAAAGCCAAATGGAAGCTATGTGTGTGGAGGCAAGGTATAGGAGTGGCAGGCCACCTGGTTTATTGGAAACTCTGTATATCAATTTTTGTGGATCTTTCCTTTGGGGCAGTTCAGTTTCTTTAGTGATGGATATTCCAGTTCCTTGCCTTGGGAATATAAATCTTGCTGCTGACATTCTAAAGCTAAGCTGTAGAAGATGGGTTAGAGATCTTCATTTACTGAGTAGACTTTCACTTAACCTACTTTGTGGTAAGACCGTGGATGCCTGCACAAAGATCCTGAGTCCAGAACCTTTGGTATACTTTCTAGAGAGTATACTTGATGTCTTTTTTGGGACTAGAGGAGGAAGCTGTCTGGCTGTGCTAAGTACCTTGTATATAGTCTCCTTGTTTTCAGCCCTACCCCAGTTTCTTCTGCAGTTCTGCTGATGATCCTTTGTGGAGTTCTGTAGTGCAAATCACTTTGCTTCTCTTCTATATCTTCCACTGCAGCCTCTCTGGTATAATCTTTTCTTCCCATCTGCCCGTCTTCATTTATTAATACTAGTTGCATCAAAGACAGAGTTCAGTGTTTCTATTTGGGGTTATTATTAAGATAAAGGGTGTTCCAGTTATCTATTGCTGAGTAATAACCGCCCCCCCCCGCAAGTATTTAGTGCTTTGAAACAAGCATAGTTTATATTGCTCACAGCTGTGCAATTTAGGCAAAATGGCTTGACTGTAAATCAGAGTATCTACTTCCAAGATGGTTTGCTTATATAACTGACAAGTTGATTCTGTCTGTTGGTTTGGAGTTCAGTTGGACTGTTGGTTTGGGACCTCAGGTTACTCTTCATGAGGCTTCTTGGGTTTCCTCATATCATGGCACCTGAGTTCTAACAAGTGTTCTGAAAGAACCTTGCTGGAAGATGCAAGGCTTCTTGTAACCTAACCTCAGAAATCCCAGTCACTTTGCCACACTGTGTTGGTGAAGTAGGTCACTAAAGCCAGCCCAGATTCAGAGAGGGGGAATTAGACCCACCTCTCAATGAGAGGAGTAAGTAAAGAATTTGTAGCCATCTTTTAACCTATCACAGGGGCAACGGTCTTATTTGGTCATCTTGAAATAGAACACTTACTATACAAACTAGAATTTCTCTAGGAGGGGGAATGGGATGGTAATTGATCTTGAAATCATATAATGTGAGAAACTGTTGAAAAGAATTTAGACATGTTTCCTTGAAAGGGGGAATTGATGAGCTTGTCAAATATTCAGAAGTTGTTATACTCATGAGTTATACTCATGCTGAGAAACTATAGAGGTAAACTTTGTCTTAGAATTAGCCAGTGAAAGTTTTCTGAGGCTCACATTGGCTCAATATTAAAAAAAAAAAATTCCTGTAAATTTTAATTGTGTACAAATGGAATTACTATTTCAAAAAAGAATGAGTTCCTTGTCTCCCTCTGTGTGATACCTTTCATGGATCCATGCATAGCTACTCCCTGCATTGAGTAGAACATTAGCTGGATGACTCATTTCATTCTTCACAATTTTTTTATTCTTGGATTATAAATAATACATTCTGTAAATTTGTTACCATCTAAAAGTTCAACTTCCAAAAATTCAGGTCTCCTAGAATTCGATGAAGAAGTAAATCACTCTTCATCTTATACGTGTAATTTGAGCTCTCGAAGGCTTTTACATCTTGAAGACTCTAAATCTTTATCTACCATTAGGGTAATAATCTTTTTCCTTCATCCCTTATGGCCATGATTATTTATTTATTTATTTTTTGGCTGCGTTGGGTCTTCGTTGCTGCGTGCGGGCTTTCTCTAGTTGCAGCGAGCAGGGGCTACTCTTCGTTGCAGTGCGTGGACTTCTCATTGTGGTGGCTTCTCTTGTTGCGGAGCACGGGCTCTAGGCGCACAGGCTGCAGTAGTTGCAGCACGCGGCCTCAGTAGCTGTGGCACGTGGACCCTAGAGCACGTGGGCTTCAGTAGTTGTGGGACGTGGGCTCAGTA